AATGCTTCGTACACACAGCCTTGCACACGATCTCACAGGATCCTCAGGAAATAGACATAACTCCTCCCTCTGCAGCCAAGGGTCCTGAGGCACAGAGAGCCCCGACGGCTCATCAGGGACATCTCACTGAGGGTTGCTTGAATAATGAAAGGAGGACTCTGGCTCAGAGTGTTGGGGGCTTCAACCCATGGTTGGCTGCTCCCTTCCTCTTAGCCCCATGGAAAGGTAGAGACATCATGGGAGAATGGCATGGCAGTAAAGCTGCTCACCTTACGGCCGGGAAGGGACAGAACAGTCAAAGATGAAGTGTGCCCTTCAGGGACATATCCCCAGTGGTTTGCCTCCCCTAGGACCCACCTTCTCCTTTCCTCCCAATAATTCCATCAAGCCATGAACCCATTAAGGAATTGATACATTGAAGGAATCAGGACCCTCATGACCCAGATACTTCACAAGAGCCCAGCTCTGAACGTTGCACTTGGTATTTGACTTTAAGGTGATATTTCATATTGAAACCGTAACGATTATGACGGTTTAACTTTTGGGTGGGGTGAGGATTGAATCTGTCCTTGTACATGCTAAACAAGCACTCTTATGATGGCTAAGCTTCTCTGTATGTACGTGTGTGTGTGTATGTGCATGTGTGTGCAGATGTGTGTGAGTGTGTGTGTGTGCAGATGTGTGTAAGTGTGTGTGTGTGTGTGTCTGTGTAAGTACACATGTGGAGACCAGAGGAAAGAATCAAGTGTTGCTCCTCAGGCACCATCCACCAGCTTTTGGTTGGTTGGTTGGTTTGTGGCTTTTCTTTCTAAGCAGGGTTTCTCACTGGTCTAGAGCTTGCCAGACAGGCTAGAACTGCTGGCCAGTGGGCCCTGGGAATCCTCCTGACTCCTCAGGGCAGAGATCATTAGAGTATTCCACCACACCTTTTTTGTTGATGAGTGCTCTGGGGCTCTAACTTGGGTCCTTATGCTTCCAAGGTCAATGTGTTAGCAACATTCCTTCTTCAGGCTCTCCACCCCAAGTTTAACATTTGTCTCCTTCATACAGATGCTTTTCAGTGAGTCCAGAATTTCTGGGGTCACCAGCACACATAGCATAAGGGCCACCTTTCCAAAGGACCAGATTTAAAACAACACGAATGTCTTCGGGTAAGTCAGAAACCTCACAGCATTTGATACGTACTATCTCACCTGAGCAGGTGACATTTTCAGCACAAGTGGTAAACTTGTCAGCTGTTGGGGGGGGGGGTGATGAATCTGGAGTCCAACTCCCAGGCAACCCAAAATAAAAAAGCCCTCATCCCAAATTATTAAAAAATAATTTTCTTTTATTTCATCCAAAGCGAAGCTAAATCCAATTCTACAATGCAAAACGTGTTGTAGAGGCAAGACAACCTAACCGCATTCAATCTGTGCTTAAATGCATGTGCTGGGCATGTGCACGTCGGTGCCTCCTGGAGGCACTGTCGACCTGAGGCTCCCACAGCCCATCAGTGTATTGTTTGACCTATAAAGTTAGATAGGAAAATCGGCTATGGGTACTGTTATCCAAGCCAGAGGAATAAACCATGCATAAGATAGTCAAAAGCACTGCACATCCAGTGGGAGATGGGAGAGCAGAGACTCCAACCTGGGACAAACTAATATGTAGCAAGCTAGAGGATTTCCCCGCAGATACCTCTTTTAGGCATCCTTGCCCCAGCCCTCCTGTGGCAGTTGTCTGTCACCCTGACATGGAATCACCCAGTAGGATCCAGGAGCATAGCTGTTCGTTTCTGTCTCTTACTCTTCTTCAGTCTCCAGTTCAGGCTACTGAAGATGCAGAGCCCCACTCCCACCCCTGCATGCAGAGCCCACCCTCTTCAGCCTCGGCACCTGCAGACTGACTAGGCATGCCTTTCCACATCCCACATCCCACACAGGTGCACCGTCACCTCCCACCAGCTGAAGGATGCTCTTGCCTCCCTGGCTTCTTCTGACAGAAGCTGGTCAGTCAGATGTGTGACACTCCGCCCCCGTCTGTCATTCTCCTGGGCCCTCCCGCACTGCAGGTGGATTCCAGTTGCCTTCTGCTCAGCTTCTACACCGAGGGATCTGGGCCCTCGAGTGCAGAAGTTTATTTGGAGGTTAAGGATAAGGGACTTGTGCTTTGTCTTTGGTCTCACTGACATCAATGTCAACACAACTATATGGGTCCAGGTTTCCCAAAGTCAACCATATAAGAGGTTCTGTAGCCCACTGGCACAGGGAACACCCTCAGCCACCCTGAGATCACTATTGCCCGCCAGAGGGACTGGCTAGGGGAAATGGCTTTGCAAATATACATTCTAATGCAACCCACGGCAATGTCTGCACAGACGTGCCACTAGCACTAGGACCAGACATTCTTTGTTAAGAGGACTGAGATTTGTGGTCTTAATCTCTATCCATTGAATGCCAGTATTATCACAGGCATTGGGACAACGACACTATATATAAGTACTCCATAGTCCCAGGCACCTCCATCAAAAAACGAGTAACTCGGACAAAGATGCTTTAAGCATCTGAGTCACGATGCCTAAGGTTGCAAAAGGAAGAAGAAGAGTGAGGCGTATGCATGTTACAGGGATGCAAACCAGAGATGAGGACAGGATAGACATGGAACTTTCTCTCCAGCTATTCACCTTATTTCCCAATGCCTTTTCAAGCCAAGCCAAAAAAAAAAAAAAATCCTCACCAAGCCTCACTGCAGTCCGTGAGGTAGGTATTATTTCACCCTTTGGGTAGATGGAAGAAGCTGCAATGACTGCCTATAAGCTGACAGTGAACAGGAAGATGGAGAGGAAGAGTCCCTCCCTCTCTCCTGCTGTATGCCTTGGCTTCCTCTCAGGAAAGCAAGAAGAACCCCCAACACTTGGCCTCTTCCAGTGTTGAGGAAGAAAGCAGATTTATGTGAAGGCAGCTGGAAGTTTCCTGAATGGCCTCGGCTCTGGTGCCATGTTTGTTCTCAGAGTCAGATTACTCTAAGCAGGGTGTGGGCCCGCGCCTGTCATCCCAGCACTATGGCAACGGAGGCAGGAGATCGGGAGTTCAAGGCCAGTGTTGGCTACATAGGGAGTTGGAGGCCGGCCTGGGCTACATGAGACTCTGCTCAAATAAATATATAAAAAGCAGGAGACGGGCAATTTTTACCCAGCTCACAATGGGTTCTGGGTAAGGAAGATTGGGAGGAGAGGCGGGAACCCCACGAGCCCCTTGGCTTGGACAAGAGACACTAGCCATAGCCATAGGCACCTACAGATCTCACTGTTCTTCAGTCTCCCCCAACTTCCACTTTGGGGGAGCCTTCAGCTACTCCTGGGCAGAGCCTGAAGCAGTCCTTACACCCCCCCCCAAAAAAAAGAGGACTAGTCTCTGTCTTCTGTCGTATCAAGGGTATCAGAAATCTGGTGAGGAAGAGGAAGTTTGGGCATCACATCTCATATGTCACAGGAACCCACACAACCAAAGCCATCTGAAGGTCCCACATCGAATGCCATCCTAGCTCCATGTCAGGGACACGAAAGAGGGTGCCTCACAGGTGTCACCAAGACCACCACCAGCCATGGAGTCGTTGTTTATACAACACAGCTTCATGCCCTCCTCCATGACCTTAGGGAGCTGGGGAGCCCCACAAGTGTCACACCAAACCGTGCAATTAAGTCAGGGAGTGTGAGCCGAAAGAAAGGGGCTCGGAACCAGGACTCAGGGAACTAAGGCACAATCTAGCCCCACACGCAAGGGGTGTGCAAACTGGCTCTGCAGGAAGTAAAGAGAAGGTGTGGGTACCCTCTCCCAGTTCCTCCTCAGCCTCAGGCTGGGTGAGGAGTTGGCCCAGCAGGGGAAAAAAAAAAGCTGGAAAAGCCAAGGGCCTTCTCATCTGGAAACAAGGCTCCCTGAGGCGAAGGCAGACCCAGAGCTGGGGTGGGCAGACCCAGAGCTGGGGTGGGCAGACCTGGGAGCTGGGAAAGGCCAGGCATGCTGGAGGGACACAGAAGGAGCAAAGGTATGGGATGGAAAGTCCTAGGAAACCATCCCTCAAGTAAGGTGGCAATGCCAGTTGTTTCAAGAGAAGGGAAGAAGTGTGGGAAACTGAGTTCCGGAAGTGTCAGGGTGGCATGGACCTGCCGTGCCAAGGAAAAGGGCTGTCAGTCTTGTAGGGCTGGGGTAAAGGCTGGGAGGTCCGGGACACTGCTCTCCCGCCTCGGAGACCCAAAAAGCGAAGCCAGAAAAGCTGCATATAGCACCCCAGTGCTCCAGGAAGGATGGAGGCTGCCCCTCCCCACAAGCCTCCTCAGCAGCTGCAGCCCAGAGAGCAAAGAGAAGCTAGGCAGGCTGGGACACTTGAAGACCGGGGCAGCCAGGCCTAGCTGGAGGATCTACAAATTCAGAGCAGGAGGAGGCTAGTCAGGGAGCCAGGACAGTGTGGGCAGGTATTCTAGGGTAGGGGAAAGAGAAGTCCCCTCTGAAGGAACTTCCAGAAGCCAGATCTTCTTCAAAGCCCAGCTTGCCTCTCACAACGGGCCCCGCCCCCAAGAAGACGCCATCCCAGAGTTGTCCATTCCCAGCTTCTGAAGTGGTCACCCTCTACCCGGCTCCAAACCCTAGCTTTGGGAGCAGCCCTCGCTGATCACTCTGATTTCCTGGTGAAAGATCAGAAGGAAAACTGAGGGGAAAGCGAGGCTTCACAGAGGGGAAAGTCTAAAGGAGATCCCATGTGTCCAGGAGCCGGACCGATCCTTCCACACCACTCCAGCCCCTCCCTTCCCTGTCTTCAGCCTCCTGTAGGCTTCCTCACCCAGTCAACCCTTGTCCCTAGGAAGCCCCGGCTGGGGAGGGATGGCAGCTGGGCAGGGTCCGGTCCTTCCTGCTCAGAAAGAACAGTTTGGGCCAAGCAGCACACATCTCAGACGGGACTCGGCATCAGTATCACCATCAGAAAAGGGAGGCTCCCTGCCCTGCTTGGCCCTGAGCAGGGCCTCACACTTTGGTGGGTGGCTTTTCTTCCGCTTTGGAGCCAGGCAGCCCGTTCTCTGTGTTGTCGTTCCCAGAGGAACTCACGAGACACTCCTTCCTGGAAAGGGGCGGGGGGGGGGGGTTAGAGGAAACAGAGATGAACAGGTGCATGGCTCCCTGTGCCCCATCCCTGGCCTTTTCTGTTCTGTTCTGTTCCAGAGACAGCCCATCTGGTCACCTGTCTTCCCCAGAACACAGCTTTCTAAGTTTTAAAACTTCTAATAAGGTAATGCTTTTTTTTTTCTTGCTCTGGCTTTCCAAGATTACCCACCTGCTGCTTTAAAGACAGTCTGACATTGTTCCAGAAAATTCTGGGCCCGGGCTCAAATTTTCTCTACCTGTCCATCCTTCTCCTCCTTCTAGAGAGGAGATAGACTGAACCCAAGATCTTGCACACGCTAGGCGAGCGCTGTATCTCTTAGCTATGTCCCTGACCATTGCCATAACTGAATTTTATCTTAGGACTTCCTAGGAGGTCATGTCACCCTTTGGGGTTTTAGTTTAGCTTCATTTGGATTTGGCTTTTGAAACAGGGCCTCACACTGTAGACAAGGCTGGCCTTGAACTCAAAGGGATCCTTCTAAGAGTGACTCTCAACCAGTGGGACTGTAGGCACGAGCCGCCATGCTTGACTGACAGGCATTGTTTCTGCCTCTCAACTGAATTCTCAGAATTTCTCCTCTCCCTAAAAGAGTCTTTCCGTTCTAGGCATGAACTCACATTTTCCATGATAGAAATGAAAATAAATAGGCTTCCCCAAATCTGATGGTAGGTTTTAGGGCAGATGGCACAAATGGGAAGAGAGGTTAATGAGACGGAAGTGGGGGAAGCCAGATGAGAAAGATCAGGTGGAGAGAGGTTGGGAGGGAGCCAGGAGATAGGGCAAGGACTGTGGGGATAGCAAAGGCCAGAGATGGCATCAGAAGACGTTGGAGAACGAAGAGTACTGCAGAGAGGATACTGCAGGGTGGCAGGGATTAATGGTCGTGGAATGAGGACCACCAGGGATCACGGGAGCGAGGGCGGGTTAACTCACTTCTTCTCTCGGGTCTTCTTCAGGATGAAGGTGATGAGCTTCTTCAGCAGCAGGATGCAGACGAGAAGTCCAATGACCCCACCCACCACAGCCAGGATGATGAGAGTCACCGTGTTGTCCACTTCTTCCACTGGTGGGGGTTGGGGGGAGGTCAGAACAGAGAGGGAAGAACGGCGGAAAGCCACCACACAAGGTGCAAAACTAGCCGTCCTGCCTCCAGACCGTGACCCTCTCAGGTCACCCGAGACCAAAGAGGCTATGGCGTCGATTCCTTTCACCCCCTCCCAACACCTCTTCCCATAGACTCACACACACGTTGGGGGATAAATCAGAGTGAGACCCAGCTTTGAGCCCTCAAGCTCACTCCTCAGCTAGTCTCCCTGCTTCCTGTCCTCCTGACCGGCCCCTCTGTCACCCTTCCCAGCAAGGCTGTCCCTGACCACTCTACGAACCCTCCTGGCTCCCCCTGTTGCTTTGACGCCTACACACAGCACTGCTCTTTGTTTAACTGAGTTGATCTCTCAGTTAGCAAAGCTCCAGTCCTGGTCACAGTGGAGCCTCAGCACCCCGGGCCACCATAGATGGCTGAAACACTATATTAATGGATGAGAGACATCTGGGAGGGTCCACAGAGCTAACTCAGAGCCTGGAATCCAGAAACGTTCTGCCAGCGTTGGTCCCTTTCCCTTCTCCTCCTACAAAGGGCAAGCACGGAGGAGCAGACAACAGGAATCTCAACAGATAGAAGAGGTGACGCCATTTGCGGTTCTAATACCAGACTCGGGCTCTAATAAAGACGGCCTGGCTAGCCTAGGGCTCTGCCCTTGAAATAACCCAAATTCAACCCCTGTTGTTCCATTTCCAGGGGCTCCTTGATAGGATCATGGGGTGGGGAGAGGGTAGAGGCATGCAGAAGGCACCAAATTCCAGCATCCTCATTTGGCAAGATGCCTAACCTAACTTCTCAACTATTTATCTCTCTTTGCTTCCCTGACCACCTCCATGGAGTAAAGGCGTATGCCTACCTACCTCCTTCAGAGCCTCCCTGACCACCTCCATGGAGTAAAGGCGTATGCCTACCTACCTCCTTCAGAGCCATCGCTGCTTAAATGATGTACCCAATTCCACGGGGGAAGGACCACACCTCGTTCTACTCTTTGGAAACTATCTGCTATTCATTTGGAGCTACCCATCTACTTGTCCTACTCTGGACTACAAACTCCTCAAAACCAGAAGAAAACACTGCCTACCAGTTACAGCATCCTTTACCACAACTCCTGACAGTCATCCAACACTCGCTCACCCCGTATACAAAATCAGCAAGAATCCACCTACATGGAGAGGGTCTCATGCTACTGAACGCTCCCAGATAGCTCCTCGGCCCTTCACAATCACCCTGACTGAAGGTAGCCATACACCCTTTTAACAAACTAGAACATCGAGGCTCAAAGATGCTCAGTGCTATCCCCAAGCCACCCCGTAAATGACGATTTCTAGCTTCCAGGTGCAACGGCAGTAACTCTTGGAAGTGTAAAGAGAAAATCGCCAGCATGGCTCATTTTGACATTCCAACGCCACACCGACAGGTACCCCAAGTTCTTCCTACCCTACCACCCTCAATCCTGTGCCCACTACATACATTTATCAACCACTTGGAGGAAGATGGTGGCAGAGTTGTTCAGGTCCTTCTCCTTGGGGTTCCTCACGAAGCAGGTGTATTTGCCCGTGTCACTGAACTCCAGGTCACTCAGAAGGATGGAGATGTTATTTGTCTTCTCCTTAGTGGAGCCCTCCAGGGTGATTCGGTCATCGTCCTTCACTCTCACCTTAGGGTCAGACTTATCGTTCTTCACGATCCCGTCGATGAGCTGGGCAGGGAAAGATCAGAGCAGTCAAGCTTCACCACACCCTTCCGAGGACACCACCCATGACCATGCCCAGAAAGACCCTTCATCTTCCTCTGCTCTCTCTGACAGTGGCTGAAGCTCTGCCTGACCTGAATTCTGCCTGTTTCAAACTAAACCTGTGTTCTTTCCTTCAGGACTCCCTGGAACACACCCCACCAGCTGCTGTTTTCTTAAAAGCCTTTTTGTTTTTGCACAGTGCCTCTGCAAATATGCATACACATACAAGTATGGGCATTCTGGCACGCACACACACATGCATGCACACACACATATGCACATACACACATACACACTCAAGCATGGGCATTTACACACACACACACACACAGACACACACACACACAGAGAGACACACACACACAGAGTTCTCTCTGCATGCCCCACCCAGCCTTCCTTCCTTACAAAATCGTGCCCTGCAGTCAGGACCGGGATTAATACCATAGTTCTGTCCTTCAGCATCCTCTAAGGCTAGTGTCTCTGGGGCTTCCACGGTTACTCTGGGAGAAGAACTCCTGCCACACTGCACAGAACTCCTTCTGCATCTGTGACCTGCTCACCCCAGCGTTCCTTCCTTGCCCTCCCTCCTGTCCTTCCACGCATCCCTCAGCCACTGTTCATCTCCATTCTCCAAGCCTTTGAACAGCTTCTTTCTCCTGATTGTGAAGCCATTAATTTTTTTTTCTGAAAATATCCAAGTTGCGGGCTTCCCTCAAGAAAAGACAACAGAGTCTAGCCAAAATTTTAGCAGACCCCAAATTCTGGCATCACCGTCAGAAGCATCCTCCTGCCTGGACTTGAGAGAAAGAATACCAAAAGGTGGGTTCTTGGGATCATCTTTGGTCCTCAGAAGAGACCAAAGCCCGGGCTTGAAGGCATTCATGGACAAGGGACAGACAGCGGGGAGGACGTGAGCACCCCACTTACAATCCTGGATGTTTCGCTGTTATTGTAGGACCACCTGAAGTAGAGGTTCTCAAAACCATAACAGCTGGAGAAGGTGCAAGGCAGCAGGATCGCTGAGCCGTTGATAGCGTAGATGGTGGTGGCCTTTCCCACAGATACCTCCAACGACAGGTACATGGGGAGCAGGAAGAGACCTGTACAGGGGACAAGGCTTCCCTTAATAAAAGCCCTCGGGAAGCCAAGGACACCCTCAGCCAAGGAAGGGGAGCTTTGTCAGATGAAGAGGGCTTTGACATCCTCAGGACGGAAGATGGTTCTCTATACAGTATCTACACGACCTGGACCATGCATTTCAATATCCACTTGGCCTGAATAGAACTGAATTCTGAGCCTTCGTGGCCCATGTGGTACTCAAAATGACCACGAGGGGACACCCCAACCCAAGAAAAGGAAGGGTCTAGTGTTTCCTCCCCCCACCCTCACTCCTCTAAACTTGCAATTCCACCCCTCCACCTGGGTGGGGGGCAGCAGCACCGGTAGGGGCCAGGAAGGTGCCAGAACTCCCCCTTTCACCTGCACCCAGGGAAGTTCCCCAGATCGGGGCGCACCCCTGGTGATGTTTGAGAGTTTCGAGTGGGAGCCAGAGCTTCGTCAGGTGGAAAGGCGCGATCGCCGCTGTCCCTACCATGGAGCTAGGGGCTGAAAGAACGCTCAGGGCTGGACTTGTCTGACTAGTGAGTACAGCTCCTCCGACTACACAAGGGGATCCCGAGGAGAGAAGGATGACTACCCGGCCCTCCAGAACGGAACGGTGGCCGCGGCCTCGGGGAGCACAGACTGCTAGCGGCGGCGAGGACGCCGAAAAGAGCTTAGCAGAGCGCAGTTCTCTGCAGAGGGCATTTGTATCAAGCGAGGGCACGCTGCAGGACGCGGGACTTAGGGGTGGCCTGCACCCTCCAGATTCGGTGGAGCGCAGCCTCCTCATCATCCTGCATCCACACTCCGCATCCACACCCCAGAAATCACAGTGACACCCACCACGGTCGTATCAACCCCCTTCACGGGACATCCCCATGCCCCACACCCCCTCCACAGGACATCCCTCGGCCCCACCCCCTCCTTCCACAGGACATCCTTCGGCCTCAGGAGGCGTTGCTTTCGGTAAGTCCTCCTCCTAAGCGCTCTTAAAGAATCTAACCCTCCTCTTGCCTGCACATTCCTTAGGGAAACTGCATTGCCTCAAGGTCGTTCCACACTGAAGGAGATCCACACTGAACTCATACCTTTCTTTCCCAGTAGGAGAAACGAGCACTTCACTCCGGTCTTAATGCTCAGGAAAGGTCCTTTGTTGTCTAACTTAATTCCCTCGTGCTGCATCATAAATCAATTTCCTTTTGTTTTGCCCAGAAGAGGTAATGATCACTCTACTAGGTGACAGACAAGGCAGACAAGCCACTCTAAAGAGTGCTGGTGGCCCAGCTCCTGTTCTCAAGGGTCCCTTTACCTTCCTTGTGTCTCCTTTGCTTTTGGTTGCTACACGAACACACATACACCTCAGGTCAGAAATTGCACCCTATGGCCCAGTAACCCAGTCTTGACTCCTGCCATGTCTGTGGTGACAATAGGGAAATATTGATGAAGCATTTACTGTGTGTCTGGTGCCTTTAGGTCCCCTGTTCCTCCATCATATCCTAGATTATAGACCACACTACAGGGCAAGCTGAGCCTAGAGAAATCAGCGATTCCATTAAGATCAAAGAGGGAGACAGAAACCCCTCCTCACATGCTAAAATAGGTGCACTTGCCCGCTGTGGTTCCAAATCTTGCTAGAGTACCTCAATTTGCCTCTCTCTCTCTCTCTCTCTCTCTCTCTCTCTCTCTCTCTCTCTCTC